ATTTTATACACTATTGTTCAGTAACATTTATATACAGACACCCTCTACTTAAGAACTTTCAACTTACGAACTTTCAGACATATGAAGGAAGAGGACTGTAAGTCCAAATTGTGTTCATTTGGGCTCCTGTTTCCTGTCCGCAACATCAATTTTTTTTTCTGTGCGCCAATTCCGCCTAGCACGACTTCTGCCCGCTACTCCCACCGCGCAGCAGCGTAGCGTGCGAACTCCCAGCATCCTAGTTCATTGTACTTGCGTATACCCTTAAATGATGTTGAATAACGACTTACGAACATATCGGCCGTTCGGAACATATCTCATTCGTAAATAGAGGAGCGTCTGTAATTTGAAAAAATAAACCGCTAAAGATAGTATCATCCAATTATCATCTAAGCTCTAAAATTAATTTCTTCACAGTCAGATTATTGCGTCAGGCTACTTTTAGCACGTTAAATCATTCACCGCCAATATGTGGAAAGCATCGTCTCTGATTTCTCCCCCTCAAGAGGGCTTCTTTATTTATTTCTTTAGCATCTCATGAATGTTTTTCACACAAGCACACACTTCAAAGGTTACCCTATCCCTGGGTGGTATCATTTTCCATCTTTTAATACGTTTGTGTAAATTCTGAGCCATGGGACAATGACAACGGTTTTAAAAAAGAGTTTGCATTACGGAGCGAAGATGATATGACACAATCGGTTTCTAGTGTCTTACAGGCACCTATTTTTGGGGCACTTAAACAGTTCTTTCGAAGGAAAATTACAGCGTTCAGTACCAAAATCAAGCAAGCATTTCCTCAGATACTTCTTGAAAAGACTTGTTTATTGCTTTTTACCTAAACAATCTGAATTTTCCTAGAAATAACTACAACATGCAGTAAGCAAAGATAAATTCTTAATAAAAATATGAAAATAGGTATGGTCATTATGCAAATTGGTTTAGATTATGTGTTTATCCACAGGATGAAAAGAACCAAATGATGACCACCAATGTTTGGGTGAAACAGGTAGGCTGACCGGCCTTCTCCACTCGCCTCTCTGTCCTGAAGGGACCGTCATCTTTCACATGAGCATCGCACCATGTTTCATGACAGGAGTGGAACGATTACAAACTCCGATGGAATCCAGAAGAATACGACAACGTCACGTCCATCCGCATCCCGTCTGAGCTCATCTGGAGGCCGGACATCGTCCTCTACAATAAGTATACATGATTACAGAGCTAGCCTGTGCTGTTATTACACTTCAGGCTGCAGCCAATCAGAATGTGGCAGCTGGATGTTATGAGACCTGGTTGTCGTCATTTTTGATGTAACCATCTATTTTAATTGTCTTAAAAGACAATATGATGCTCTACTATATTTCATACATTTATTACTACATAGTATAGTGTATAAAGCACTATTTAAACATAGAGGTGATATGCCTGTCTATGCATATTCTTAATGTAAACGTTGAGCTACATTAAAGGATTCTTTCCTGAGAGACAGCAATAGCGGCCATCAGTGATTAGTGTTTTTGTTTATTCAGCGCTGATGGAGATTTTGCGGTGACCCATTTGACCAAGGCCCACCTCTTCCACGATGGCAGGATTAAGTGGACACCCCCCGCCATTTATAAAAGCTCCTGCAGCATAGATGTCACTTTCTTCCCCTTTGACCAGCAGAACTGCACTATGAAATTTGGCTCCTGGACCTATGATAAAGCTAAGATTGACCTGATAAGCATGGCCAGTAACGTGGACCAAATGGACTACTGGGAGAGCGGAGAGTGGGTCATCGTGAATGCTGTGGGCACCTACAACATCAAGAAGTATGAGTGCTGCACAGAGATCTACCCAGACATCACTTACTCCTTCATCATCCGAAGGTTGCCTCTCTTCTACACCATCAACCTCATCATTCCCTGTCTGCTCATTTCCTGTCTGACTGTCCTGGTCTTCTACTTGCCCTCAGAGTGTGGCGAAAAGATCACGCTCTGCATCTCGGTCCTACTCTCCCTCACAGTCTTCCTCCTCCTCATAACAGAGATCATCCCATCTACTTCTCTGGTAATCCCACTAATCGGAGAATACCTGCTCTTCACCATGATCTTCGTCACCCTCTCCATCATCATCACCGTCTTCGTGCTTAACGTGCATCACCGCTCTCCCCGCACACACACCATGCCGCACTGGGTCCGAAGGGTCTTCCTGGACCTGGTACCACGAATCCTCTTCATGAAGCGCCCATCCACTGTAAAACAAAACTGCAAGAAGCTCATAGAGATGATGCACAGGAGACGTAACTCACCAGTCTACTGGCCCAGAATGGAGTCCCCTCGACCGTCCCCTGACACAGTCCGTAACAACCCAGATGTTCTGGCCACCTCAACGTCCTCAACCCTGGGTCTTCCCCTGGACAGTCACACTGTGCCCAGGACACCACTGCTATGTGCATCTCCCTCCAGCCAGTACTCAGTCCTCCTGGAGGAGCCTCCAAAAGTCCCCGTGCACCACCTCCCACTGGAGGTGCCCCCCAAGCTGCGTTCGCTGAGTGTCCAGTACCCCGGTGATGAGCGGGATCCCCCCCAGGGCTCCGCACTGTGCCGCTCCAGGAGCATCCAATACTGCTGCCTCAGGGATGACTGCTCGCACAGCAATGGCCGGGGCAGTTCCAGGCCCAGCCGGTCCACCTCCTTGATGGAGACGTCCTGCAGCATCCAGACCCTCTGCAGGTGCCAGGGACCGCTTGAATTATCCGTGCCATCCACCAGGCCCGTCACAGAAACCGGGATCAAGGAGCAACCGCTCCTGGTGATGTCCCCATCCATGAAACTAGCCATTGAGGGCATTCAGTATATCGCAGACCACCTGAGAGCTGAGGATGCAGACTTTTCTGTAAGTAAGAAAGAGTAACATTTGCACACTTTTTCTTCTCCTTTTGTACAGGATTATTATTATTATTATTATTATTATTATTATTATTGTTGTTGTTCTAACATATATTAACAACATTCTAACAATGGAATTCTCTTAGCTTCCCTTTCATTTTATACATAGAACCTGAACAAGCTCCTTTAAAAATAGCTGCATAAATGAAGTTTGAACACTGTGAGGGGGCAGTTAATTAACAGCACCATTAAATGATCTGACATTTCACAAGTAACAACTAGATTATCGCCTGGTGTACACTCTCAAGTGAGAGAAATGAAATGCTGTTAGTGAATAGAAGTCAGAAAAAAATGTTCTAAAGGTTATTTTTATAACAACATAGCAGTGTTGTAAAAACAAGCTCATGTTAGAAGGTGATTCTATGACAGTTTGTAGTCTTTAAATCCAAATTAACCTCATCTGTAATACCCGATGAAAAATCTCCTTCATCATTCTTTTTAAAATTGATTAGGGTGCTTAAAATAATCAAGGCCCTTGAGAAATGTTACCAGTTACTGCGAAATTGGGAAATAAATGTTCTACAAAAATGTATCAAGGTCTTGAAGGATTACAATAGGATTGATTCCTCTTGGAAACCATTCATTGCGGTCTAAGGACTTACTGCATGTACTTAAAACCTGCAGAACTTGTGCAGCTTTTTTATTTAGGAGGTAATTCTACATCTAGTCTAACATTATGGTGCAGAGAAGGATCCAATTCAGCAGAAAGTCTTGTCGATGATTTAAACTGAGAAAGGACTTTCAGCCACCTAAGCAAAGATTTTTCAGTGGCTTTATGGCTGAAAACACACCAGCTAATAGTTCAGCCCACTGATCTACCCCCTTAACCAGAGCAATACCTACTATCTTCTTGTAAAGCTCTTTATCTAGTCACTAATAGGTACCTTTAACCTGGTAACACTTGAGACACAAATAATGTAGTATTATGCTATTACTTATGTATTATGTAACCACAAACTAAGTCTAAGTCATCATTAAGGAATCGTGACAGCTTATCTCAAGCAGTTACTTTATCTAATTCTGTAAACCTTAGTGAACTACTGAATGAACTACTGAAAGAACAAATAATGAATAACATGAAATGCTGCTCTTGTTTGTTCATCATTAAGGAACCATGACGCATCTTTTATCTGTTAATTCTGTACATATTTGTGAACCACTGAAGGAACCACAGAAGGAACTACTGAAGGAACAAGTAATGAATAACACAAGTGAAATTCTGATCTCATGTTTGCTCATCATTAATGAATCATGATACATCTTTTATCTCAAGGTTCATGATTTTCATACTCCAGTAGTTAATGCAGTTGCTAATAAGTATTTTTTGCTCCCTCAAGGAAAGTATTAGTCTTAACATTTACATTTACATAGTTTTCCTAAAAAGCCCACTGTGACTCTCCCCAGGGCGGCACTTCAGGGCTTCACATCATTACCAGCTACTGTATACATGTAAATCAGAAGTAATATTCAATAAAATATGAATTAAAGCACAAAAACAGTACGATAGTGAGACGTGTTCAGCTTAAATGTTTCGAGTTCCTCTGGAGATGCTGGCATTTCACTGCGAAGACTGTTAATGCTAAACCTGCAGCCCTCTTCATGTTCCCATTACCTCTGGAACACATGCGTTGCAAGTTAAGCATTTTCTGAAGGAACCTTAACTGGCCGAGGTTGGGAAATAAATGGGAACAGTGTTCACTGGACTTGAAAGGACCAGTGAGTGACAGGCATCAACAAATTATTATTATTCACGCAGCATCCTGGGGAAAAAAAGAACCAACCATTCATGACCAGACAATTAAGTGAGAAAATTGGAGGCAGGTGAGAATCACCATGGGATATGAAAATGATAATTCTGTCTCATCTGCCCCCCCTCAGGTGAAAGAAGACTGGAAGTACGTGGCGATGGTCATAGACAGGATATTCCTGTGGATGTTTATATTGGTATGTGTTCTGGGAACAGTGGGACTTTTCCTGCCTCCTTGGTTGGCTGGGATGATTTAGAGCGATAGAACAATCCAGAACTACAGAAGATGAATTAATCCCAGCAACTCTTCTGAAAGACAAACATATCAGACATAAATAGTTGTCTGTACTTGATTGAAGTTTAGCTTTGCTTCGATGTTACCTGTAAATCCAACGTTTTTGCACATTTTTACTCATTCTGGTTAGTGCCCCGTCCTGCCATGGAAACACAGCATTCCTCTTGGCATTTCATTTCCCAAAAGGTATTTTTCCAATGATTCCTGAATGCTATAAATGGCACTTTTTTCCCTTATGGTGAAAAATGATCACCTGAAACCATAATTTTATTGCTTTTCTTAGATGACTTGATTTCATATATAATTGAGCATTGGCAGCATTTTATCAGAAGTGTAATTTCTTCCTTTTGGCTCTGTACAGAAAAATAGCAAAAGAAAAACTAGCCTGGCTGTATATATGAACAAATTGGTTGGCTTTAGTTTATTGTACTACTGAAAGTACAGTATTTACAGCCATGTCATGTAAAAAGAAATAAAAAAGGTTAGGAAATAAATGAATGCCTCATCAACAAACACATTATCACCATAATTAGAATAGGCTATTACACATTTTATCGCCTCATATACATATCAGAATCCTGACAACCCAATTAAACACAAACTAATAATTTCTGCAATATGCATAATAAGTATTGTGACCCAATGTACTGTGAGATGTGTACAGAAGAGTTGCACAGACCTACAATCATTGCATTCATCTATCCGTCTTTCTGTACACTGTACGCAGTGTTTTCCACACTGTGTATCTAATGCAGAGTCACTGTGGGCCTGTGCCGGGTAGCATTGTGTTCCAGGCAGTCTATACGTGAAAGTACAGACTGCCCACTGCCCATCCCAGGATTTATTGCATTCATTTTCATTCTCTTTACTGTCAATTTACAAAGTGCAATAAACATCAAATAAGCTACTTGTATAGCCTGCCAGTTAAATACGTAATTCTGCAAACTCAGTGCATTACTTAATCATTTTGGGTGGTGGACAATTGCAGTGATCACAATGAAGTGATTAAAGGTGAGGGGACAAATCCAGGGCAAAAGCCCCTCCACTCACTGGTAACCAGCTTGAAATCATAATATAAAGCCAGAGAGACTCATATTTTCCCTATTTGTTGTTTCCCTGGTAAAGGCCGAACAGAATAACTGTCTGTACTGCTTGTTTGGCTCTGTGATTAACGCCCATAATGAATGTCATTCGCCTTCATCAGAACAGCTCTACCTCTGTTAATTTTTCATCGGGGGTGCTTTAATCATTATTTGACCTAGTGTTTGTCTATTCAAATCTAAGTTCAAGAATCAGAAGGTTTAGGAAGCAGATGAAATGGAATATTGGTTGTTTTTGACTTGTGGTCCAGCTGCATGAATCAAACCCCTTGAAGACTTTATAGATGTGGAGGTGCAATTGGCACTAAATTTGTGTGGGGGATTGCCAGAGCTCAGTCCACACTCTGTCTCCTCAAGCGCTACACCCAGGATCATTAAACTTAAAATTAACTTGACATTTTTGTTTAAATAAACAAAAACTTTGGAATAAACACAAAAGGAACTAAAGAAATGCATATTTATAAAATCGGTCCGTCCGCTTAATCATGTATGTTTCGTTCTCTGACTTTTGATTTGAAAGGGAAAAAAATCCACTTTTTGGTCACTAAAATTGATGAGATTATATATAGAAAATATATAGAAAATATTGTTGTGTTTAAGTAATTAATAGTGCATTATGGTTGATTATGGAAGATTGATTTGTGTGTGTGTGACATCTCTGGAAGTCAGTTCGCTGCAGCTCCTTATGTAGTGGGGGTTGCCGGAGGTCTCTGACAATGGAGGCACTTTGCAGGCAGCACTGTAAGACTGAAACTGTTTTGACTGTTGAAACTGGTTTGTGGGTTATTTAGGTTCTAAAAACATTTCTCATTTGGGGAAATCCCCAAGTTTCTCACTGGTGATGTAAGTCCTTCATGAAGTAACTATTCTCACTTCAATTTTTAAATTCATATTTATACCTTTAAATAGAACCACAAACTGCTGACTTGGAATAAACAAAAACATTTCATTGTGCTGTGATCTCCCCATCACCACGTCCCACCCCCCGCCGCTTAACCTTCAGGTGTCGGATACATCGAGATGGTTCCCCTGTCCCATTGATTAGGAGATCAGGTTAAACAGTCTTGCACAAATAGTCCCTTCCCTTTGCCATGACTATATCATAGCTTCTGCTTTTCACTGGAACAAAAGAGTTTAATCATCATTCACACAACTGCTGTCCCCCAAAATAAACACATTTACTTCATTCAGACTATAGTCCTCAACCCCAAGATACGTACAAGAAGACGCATCACATGCCTTTGATCTCAGCAAACACGTCATTGATCCATATAAATCAGCAGATTAAACTATCCCTGTGTAAAACAATCTAGCTGAAAGCAGAAATTGCAGAGGCCAATGCAATCTGCTACAACGTTAATTGATTTTTATTGTAATTGCATTTGAAAGTTTTTGTCATTGTGTACTGCAGTGTATTTTATCTGGTGTAGTTTAACATTAAAAAATATAATATTAAGATGAAATACAAAATTAATAATAATCAGCACCTCCTGGTTGACGACTCGTACTGTCATCAAGGTTGACGGGTATTACTGCCTTCATCTCCACCCCGGTCGACAACTTTTATCATTGCCACCCCGCCTCAATGTTGTTGTGAATCTGGATCATGATTTATTGACTAAAGAATGATATGGGTCCTAAAACCAAACCAGCTGAAAACCACTGGTGTAGTGTTGACCTTGAGTATTTGACATTGCAGTGTGGTTTGTGAGTGTTGAAATTTAAGCAGCTGGAAGTGAGTGAAGGATCATGCAAAAACATCTTTTGCTTTAATATAACACCTTACAGCTGTTGACAATAATCCCAGAAAGGAAGGAAATGTGACCAGTACTGGAGACTTGCAGTGACAGGCTTTGAAAGGTCTGATGTATTCAGAGCAAAATGCTCAGTCATCACTATCTGCAGTTTGATAGACGAAGTACTTTGTGTTGAAAAACAGATGAAGAAAAGGGACCTTCTGTATTCACAGGGTGTCTGGGTCATCACTACTCTGGCCCTTTGGAAGTGCATGAAAATACACTCGGGTCAAGGTGCATTCAAATAAAAGCACAGCAGACCTTTTTCAACATAGAACAAAGTTACACTGGAATTCTGGGTAAAATCTACAACTCTACAAAAAGCCTAAAACTCATAGCTCTGCCTCTGTACTGTGATTCTCCAGGGAAGGTGCATCATTAATAACAGAGCATGCCCTTAACTCTCAACATAGAAACAGACCTGCTGTGTGCTTGCAGTCACATGGTACAAATGCAAACAGAAAAATAGCATCTAACTGATATTTACAAAGGATAAACGATGCAGGTAGAACAAAACCTGTCTGTGGCTCCTTTAAGTGAGACCTAATCAATATGATTATCATATTTGTTTTGCATATTTTCCGCATACAGTGGTATTTACACTGCATAAGCCTAGCTGCTTGAACTTCAAACATATCCCAATAAAGATGTTGGTACTTCTGGTAAAGATCTGGGCCACACTTTCAATTTAGCAGCAGATAACATTATCCAGATAAGCGCAACTGCACATGGTATCACTGCCTCTATGATACTGTGGTTCTTATCTTTTTGTAAGATAAAATTGCATCACTGTGCTTCACACATGTGATGTGTGTGAAGATATCTCCTGCTGTACACATGCAGAGTAATAATGAGTCATCGATACTTTAGGGGGTATTCCAGACCCCCGTTTCTCAACCCAGTCTTCGAGGGCCCCCAGACAGTCCACGTTTTTGCTCCCTCCCAGCTCCCTGCTTATTTCTGCAAAAATGTGGACTACAGTATCTGCAGATCCCTGAAAATTGGGTTTTGAAACTGTTCTATACAAAACAGATATAAATGTTACCATTGCTTACATTGTCTGGATCAGACATACCTTAGGTATACACCGACTTCCTGACCTCTTATTAAATAATTCCTGAAGTTATACCAGTCACACATATTGATTACTTTTGAGCATCACAATAACAACAATCAATTCAGCAGGCATGAAAGTTCACTGCAAAATGAACATACTTCATAATCATTTGGGGGAATTACTGTCAAATTGCCTTGACAGAACCTGTATCCAGCATTCGCTTTCTGAAACCTGTCCAATCCAAGGATTCTGATTCTTTTGGATTCTCCAAATCCAAAAACACAGTCGGAAGGATTATGTATAATGTTTTAATTACACGAGGGGCTTTTTAAGGCTCCCCCCCATACCTGATGTCTGCATCATCTCAAGTAGAATCAATAAGAACTACAGATGAATCAGCTGATCAGTTTTGCTTTTATATTGTACTGTTTGTCAACTGAAAATGTATTATAAAACTAAACTTTTCCTCAGAACAATATGCTATGAAGATTAAGCCTTTCTCCTTTGATTGTTTTAGTTTACTTTCTTAAACTGTAAAGTATGACAATGTGCTCCTGTGTTCTCTGACCTACTGTAGACAAAATGCATGACTTCACACTAGGAACACATGGCTAGTTCATTAGTTATGTGTTCTCATAAAAAACTAATTGTATCTGCAACTGAGTACATTCAGCACACAGAAAGTGCGTAGGGCTTCATTAATAATGCTGCTGAACATTAAAAAAAGCTAAGATGTGACGTTGAATGTGGTGTAATTGCTGTTGCCGAACGTGGTGGTTCTGGAATTTCAGAAACAGCCATAATCATTTTCACACACTACAGTGTTGAAAGTCTACAGAGAATGTTATACAGAACAACCAACATCTAGTCAGCAACAGTTCTGGGGGCAAAAACACCTCGTTATTGAGAGAGGTCAGTGGAAAATGGCCAGACTCGTTAAAGCTAACAGGAAAGCCACAAGTGCAAAAATAACAGTTAAGTATAACAATGCTGTCCAGAAAGGTTTATCTGAACGCACTCGCTTACACTTTAAGGGTTCTGAAGGAAAAAGTGAATCCTAACTGGTACTCTGTAGGTGAACCTAATGATGTTGCTACTGAGTACCTAAGCATGATAATAGAGAATTACAATACTGCTGAATGACAAGAGGTAATCCTACAGTAGGTAACTATGACAACAGGTGAGCAAAAACAGCACCATGTGAAGTAACTAGATATTCAATACCTTGAAAATTAAATTATTATGGTACTCAGGCAAATTAAATAAAACACACTGGCAACCGTCAAGAATTTGACATCATTGACCCTGGTTAAACCCATTTTACATTCACAATTTTATATTCTCAATAATTGTTATGATAGGCCCTATCAAAAGTTACTCATTCTTGTAAATAAAACTACGACAAACCATATTATATTTTGGGGGCTGGATTACTTTTCCAAGAAATTCCTCCTTGGAAATGTTTATCTAATCTAATTAATAGATCCAAATTGGGAGTTTAGAATTTTGTTTTTAGGTTGGATTCCTAGATTTGCATGGCTGTTCAGTGGGAAACCAAGTTTCAAAATGCGCTGTCTCAAAACAGCTCTCTGTATCTGTAGGTCTTGGTATCAATCAGATAAAGCATAATCAGTACCTTTGTGATGCATGGAGTGTGTTGAATGACAGGACCAAAACTGAAATTTAGTGTAGGAAGGTTGTGTGACACAGATTACATTCTTTATGGTTCCATGTCTTGTATCAGGGTCTAACCAATGGGTGTACTGCAATCCAGCACTTCCTACCCTACCATGGGTTTCCCTGCAGAGATCTGTAGGGAATCCTCTGATGGTATCCACAGATGATATCAACCAGAGCAAAGGAACAAGTGAACAAACAGAGCACCTACACAGATTCACACAATGACATGACTTTTTCTTTGGACCCGAGCAGGCAGGCTGGCGCCTATCCCAGACAGTATAGGGCACAAGACTGAAGTAAAACCTGGAAGAGATACTCATCACCTCAATAAAACTGGTAACACTCAACTTGGGGGGACATTAATAATGTAGTAGTACTCTCTTACTTGACGCATTCATTAATCAGAAACTAAGTGTTAGTTAAGTACTGATCCTATGTACACTCAAATGTAATCAATCATGACAGTTCATTATGTCATGCGGAAACCTATCATGATTTGTTCTTGAGTAGTAAACAGTGGTGGAATGTAACAAAGTATTTGTACTTTGTTACTGTACTTAAGTACATTTTTACGTATCTGTACTTTACTTATATAATTAATAATAATGCATACTTTTTATTTTACTCAATTACATTTTGCGGCAATTATCTGTACTTTCTACTCCACTACATTTCTACAATTTATGCCGTCAGTTGTTACCTTTTATGAACACGATTTCCTCAAAATCTTGCATGAAAAAATAGTTAGCCTATTGCGTTCAGGCGTTGTTTGCCATTTCCTACCAATCAGGTGGCTTTATTAGCTCCAATGATGGCAGAGCGCGTCAATTAGCAGCACGAGCTGGTAGACTGGCTTGATTTCAAGAAGACGAGACATTCAACATGGACCCAGAGCCAATACACATATACTGTATAGTTGCTTGTAATAATTATGAGCAATGACATCGGTAGAGGCGTAAGTCAGTATATCTACTATTCTTTTACAAAATGGCACACCCCAGACGTTGAGACAAACCATTGTGTGAGTACTTTTACTTACAAAAATACTTTAAAGTAAATTTAAAAGTAAGTACTTAGTACTTTCACTTAAGTACTGTAATATTGTTGATGTAGCACTTCTACTTTTACTTGAGTAAATATTTTGCAGGATATTTGTACTTTTACTTAAGTACTAAGCTTCAGTACTTCCTCCACCACTGGTAGTAAATGAGTTATTTCTGCCCCCTCAAGTTAAGTCTTACCATTCTTAGCTAAATAAACAAATATAGTGCCTGAACGGAATATGTGAATTGTCATAATTGATTAATGATGAACAAGAATGGGGTCAGTACAAGCTAACACTTAGTTATTGGTTAATTAATGCATTAAACAAGCATGTACTACTACATTATTCATGTCCCCTCAAGTAAAGTGTGACCATAAAAGTACATTAACAGTACTTAAAAGAGACACAGTGAAACATTCACTCATCTGTAATTCTACTTAGAAGGGCTGTTCTGAGCTACCATGCAGCTGGGAAAAATACTATCTATAGGTGGCATGCAGCCTTAATCCAACACCGTAAAGGCTCTCTGTCCACTCACTGAAAAGAACTACCAGCAGATAGGGAGCTTAGCACAGATGCACAAGGAAGAAAATGCCCTCTGGCATTGTCTTTAATAAAAGAGCACCCAAATTTGTAATTAATGGAATGACAGGCTGGTCTGGTTGCTGAATTAATTTCTACGCTGCAGTGAAGTGAAGAAGGTTCAGGGAAAGTCCTTCCCCATTCTAAAAAAGAATTTGTCCCTGCCCTGTTTGCAAACTCTTATGCAGCCTCCTTTTTCCTCTGACCTCTATGTGACGTTAAGGGCATTTAAGGATAGCTTGAAATTCTTGCTATTTCTAATATCTGATGTGTAGATGAATCATAAATGCCAGCTGCTTTTTTTTCCATGCCACATCCTAGAAGCATTTTTCATCATTACCCTCTGGCCCAAACCAGAATTAAAATGATGAAAAATTTAAGCTTACTGCAAGCCAAACAAACTATTGATCCATTTCTCAACACCCAGAGCATCAGGACATCGACTGAGGTCACATCCAGTCCCTGAATTGTGGTATTGATCTATACAGCTCAAAGACATACAAACACATTTCTCAACAATACAGGAAAGAAAGTGTGCTCAGAAGCCAACCAACCTGACAGGAAAGACATCTGACTCATGGAAGGTAAAGACTTGTGAATCAGGCCTAAATCCCAGCATCTCTGACAAAGACAATTTCTTGACTGGCCTTGTCTATTGTGATTCAGAGAGCTGGGTGACTAAGAAACAGCTGTTTCAAAGGATGAGCACAGATCAATGTAGACCAGCTTGAAGAATGTGCTTACTAGGGACTACTGTTACAACCACTATGTTCAGTTGCATCATCATAGATTTCAGGAATATACCGATAAGGTGGGTGGCATGGTGACTTCTCACCTTCCAAGTTGAGGGTCCAAATTTCACCACTGCTCTGTGTATGAGAAGTTGTCAACTCTTCCTTGGGTACCGACTGAAGTCCAGTTGCAGTTAGGCTAACCGGTGTCCCAAATTTGCTTGTAGTGAATGGCTGTGTGCATCCTTTAACTAGCATCCCATCCAGGTTATACCCCAGCCCTGTGGCCTATTCTGCCTGAGAAAGGCTTTAGGTGACTGGCCAGCATAAACAGTTGAAAGATCAAATGTGTCTATAGCATTCAATATATATAACAACCAGGTGCTAATTGGCAGTTATCAGGACTCTAGTCTACTGTACCCAAGAACTCCAAGGTCCTCCATCCCATTAGCAAAAGCATTTCCATATTTTACCTCCAGACTGTTAGGTCATCCTGGACCATCTCTGCTTTTGCCATACTAGTGACAAGAAATAATAATAATCAAGCATGATCAGTGTAATTCTAAAACATTAGACCAAAACTGAGTGTGTCGAGGCACAAATAAAATTTGTGTTGCAAGATTTGTGTTTCCAAGCCAAGAGAAATCTACTGCTTTCAGCTGAAAAACATTCCTTCTAACAAATACACACTTACATTGAGGATCCACAAATTCATAAGCTTTCTTCAGAAAAGACGTTTACTCTGAAAACTTAAAAATACAACTGCGGAATGAGTGGGCTGGGCCACATTTCTCACCATGGGGCTAATAAGTGTCAGTATCTTGCTGAAAGCTGCTAATTACAATCCAACTTGAAGAAATCTGAAGTGGAGGAGAAGTGAAGGTCAGGGTGGCTTTCGGGTCCAAAACTTACATCATGACCATGACAAGGAAACAAAATTCAAGGCGAGAACAGGGACACAAAAACAAGTACTCCCTGACAAAATACCACAGTGAATAGAATGTTACAGTTACTACTGATATGGATTCTTACAGAATTTCTTTAATGTCTCAGTCTAAATGAAGAACCTTCACAAATAATATTTCATTAAAATGTGCTTTTGAAATAACATTTTGAAACAGCTTCATTCCTAAAAATCCGTATCTGATCCATATCCTTGTCGGTGATAAAAAAAATGAAAAAAAATTGGTAAAACAATCAAACGTATTCTTGAGCCAATGTTCTTCATTGTACAAACAGACAGTAATTATCAGCTTTAAACATAAATAAGTATGAGACAGTGGCCTGGAAACGGTACTGCGTCCCACTGGTCATGAATCATTAGCGCAGTGACGAGTCAGAACTCTGTCATCTTCTTGTGTGTATCTGCCTTCTTCCGCTCCATCTGAATGCTCAGCTCCTGGGCCTTCAGCTGCGACAGCAACCTCCTCGCCCCAGACAGCTTCTCTTCCAGATGGCTAATCATCGCTTTATCTCTGGAAAAATAAGACGGGAACGTCTGACTTGGCACGCAAGGGCTGCGGAACAGAGGCGAACAAAGAGGAGAGGCACCTCCCACGGAACGATTCAAGTCGTAAAGCAACGAGAGATGGATCCCTGATCATGTATGATGCGGTACCAGTGGGCTCTCCTACATTATCAAAAAGAGAGGCAGGACTGTCAACCCCCAAAGCAAAAGCACGCTACTGTGAGGATACGGATTATATGCTGAAGGGCTCAAGAGGCTACGGCTTTCTGGTTTTTTTTTGTCTAGAAGCATATTTTCACAGTAGATGGAAAAAAAGTTTATCGCTAACCTGCTTCCTGTCACATACAGTGAAGACTGCCATGAATAGCACTGGCGGCTCAAAGCGCGAGCAGAGAGGGGCTATTGTGATGGTCTCAGGGAGAGCAGGCATTCCCAAAATGAGCCCAGGCATGACCGGAACACTGTGCAGGAGTACCCACTGTTTCTACACGGAAAGCCTTCCCCGGCGACGTGGCAGGCGTGTGTGTGTGTGTGTGTGTGTGTACACTGCTCAACTCCAAGAATCACCCTAACTAAACCTAATGCCAAGGAGCTGAGTGCTTAGCCAGTTCCCAGATGTTCAATTTTACTGCAGCCTAAAGGAAGCCATTCCATTTTATTAACAGACGACAGTAATTCACAGGTGTTTAATTTATGGAAAAAGACAGCGCCAGTGCAACTAATCATGGCAACATACTGCAGCTGAGACATTACGCAGTATTGTCAAACAGGAGCTTTTTAGAGCACTTTCAGCTGCTTAGAGTGAGAGGAGGGTTAGATAATGCTTTTGGTTTTGAGGTCAGCTAAGGACACGAGTACCTGCCCGCCTTCCTGCCCAGGGCTTCGGTGAGTCTGTCGATCTCCCTTTCGGTCTGGGCCACCCTCTCAGCGGTCTGGAAGAGCCGCACATTGATGGAGCGCTTGGTGCCCTTGCCGCCTCTGTAGACCTCCTTGCTGTTCCTCTGGGGGGCAGGAGCATCCACAGCCTTCTGCTCCTGGTCACCCAGCTTGCTGTTCAGGAAATCGAACACGTCCCTGCGGCCCTGGGAGGCGCCCGTTCCTTTCGCTTTCTTCTTACGGCGCTTCGCCGAGGCCTCCGTTCCACCCTTCCCAAGTGCCTTCTTCTGGACGGTCTCCACGCAGTGGTCCAGGGACCTCCCTTTAGGCAGGACTACAGCCAGCACTGGCTCCACTCGGCCCTCTCCGTTCCTACCCAGGCCTAAGTCAAGTCCAGTACAGGCATGCTTCGTCAACTCAGCCAAGCACAATACACAGCAAACCGAAATAATGTCCCTCCTGAACCCACAGTGCGACATTCATGACAGGACATACTTTACAAACCAAAAGACAGATTTCTTGAATAACTTACAAAAAACGTCCTGTACGACAGGGGTGGGGAACCTGATCCATGGAGGGCCGATGTGGGTGCAGGTTTTTGGGATAGCCTCTCCATCAGCCCATAATAAAACAGTGGTTCTCTACTCCAATCCTGGAGACTCACTGTTATTGGCTGATGGAGAGGTCATCCCAAAAACCCGCACCGGCTCTCCATGGATCAGGTTCGCCACCCCTGCTGTACAATAATCAATAACGTAACAGGAGGGGAGACAGAGGGACGATTACTACCTGTATCATCTTACAAACATGATAAACACTCCACATTAGACAACCATAAAGACAGTACTAGGAAGTACAGTCCATGCTTAAAGAGGAAGTGCGGTAGAGTAGTGCACTAACAGCACTAAGCCCCCGGACAGCACGAGATCAGGTGATAAACATTCATTTACTTTACTTGTACCACATCACCACTCCTATATAGAACTGAGGTGTGTTTACTATCTACTTCAAAAGAAAACCCAAACCATATTGTATCAAGCCCACGATCTTTTTGTTTTGTTGTTCGTTTTTTTGTCACTGCTCACTAGATGGGGGTATTTTGTTTACACACCTCCTCTCCTCCTCCTATCATTTCCAGAACAAGTCATGCATCTACCTTACAAGTAACAATAATGTTTTAATCTCTTTCATCTCATTTTCCTTATCTAGAAGTTCTCCATTTCGATTTTAGTCGACTTTGTGGGCAAAAATAGTTCACTTTGGCATCTGGGAAACGCTTACCTTTACCAAATTCATAACCCATCTTGGACATCAGTTTGGAACCAATTCCCCGCGTATGAGCTTCCCAGCCACCAAAATCAGAAGTACTTCCGGGTGCCCATGTCTCCGTTTCATTAGAATCTACAACTGATGGACAATACATTGAGGAGTAAGCTTAGACATTCAAAACCATTTCTGAGTGCTTTAAGTTTCCCCGAAACATACCCCAATTACACATTCAGTATACCGTTTATTTCTGAAGTCTGTCCGACGACATTTCATTGTACAGCAAAGCGACAATGAATGCTACCTTTAGCAAAGGCAGAGTATTCTGGGTCATCGTCGTCAGATTCCGAAGATGGAGAATCATCTTCCCTCATCGGAGGAATAATCCCATCAGCCTCTATGACCAAATCTTTCTGAAGAAGCGAGTCAAACTTCACTGTATAATAACCACCATCGATTTCTGCATAAAAAGTGGGTAATTTAATTAAATAAATGTAAATAAATGTTGTTAGTTTTGCTGACTTACATTATATATAAAAATAACATTACATTTGCAGAAAAAATTCCACAAAAAGACAGAAATTACATGAACAAGACTGAATGCTATCTTTAAATTAGAACACTGTTTACGGAGTGGGGCCTAAAAGCAACTTTTCTTAAGTAGAAACTCATTTTTCTTGTAAGCAATCTCACTTAGTGCCAGATATTCACAAATCTATTTTTGGATTGCAATAGGCCCTTTTGGCCAATCCAGAATTTTAGGGGGAAAAAAAAAACTTTCTGGGAGTCACTAAATGGGTTTTTGTCAAGATAAGATATAAGGCAATACTTCAAAATACCAGTAGTATAGATCAAATTGTACAAACAGGGAGGGAATGACAGACCAGTTATCTTCGCTGGATACCATATGCCATCTTCGTGCCTGGCCAAACAGGAGGAACCTTCCTGTAGATTACTCAGGTCTGTATCCTGGAAGTCTCTCAGCTCAGAAACAGATACCACCTCACCATGTGAAAACCTAACAACAGGAAAATCAGCTGCAACGGCACCACTGACGGAAAGAGCATGCCTTCGAGGAACAGAGGGAAGAGAAACGCTTAAACAGAGGAATTCTTGACCGTAAACGGACTACCTGCAGTCCTCCATGAAGCGACACCTGTTTTCAAGGAAGAAGGGGCAGGGCTTCATGGATTTGTTGGTTGGGTAGACATACAGCACTCTGACGTGGGGCTCAGACCCCTCGGAGTACTCTGGTCCCACCACCATTGCATTGTGATATTCCAGTGTTCCCCAGGAGGTGCGATATGGCGCTCTGACTTTCAACCCACTCAGAGATTCCCCATCATCCCCGTCGTCATCAGCATTAGCATCAATGTCTTCATCACCATCCTCATCATCAACCTCACTAGTGTGACCAGGGCTAGAAGAGGAAGCTATCTGGGAATTGAATGGTTCTTCCATGCTGCCAGACATGCACTCCACAGAGGTCCCACCAACCTCTGAGTAAAAAGCAGCAAATTCTTCATCCATGTTGCCAACCTCAGTCCTCTCTACTCGGGATGCACTCTGAGGTGCAGTTGCTTCTTCTAGGCTAGCGAGCAGCCGGCTTTTCTTTACAGACACCAAGCTGGACTCGGTGAGTTGAATCAGTTGCTGTAAGTCATCCTTCAGTTTCAAAAGATCTGACTCTTGGGAAGAATCTAGTCCGGCACCTAAGGCAGACTCCACCTGCTTCAGCTGGGCATGGTAGGTTTCTATGGCTGCTTCCAAACTGCTTTCATCCATGATGAAGAGTAATAGGTCAGCAAATAGGTGTCTAGAAGCAGATGTACCACAGTAAAGTTAGAACATTCCAGCACTCAACGTTAAACCAGTAAACATCAGCACATTTATGATATTTAAGCATCTGCATGCCTATGTTACGGCATAATGGATCAGAATCTGCTTGTACTTCTCAGCAGTGAGGCGGCTATTCATTCAACCAAAGGTGCCCAATACGTCGAGGGCGATCTAGTGGTCGATCGCAAAGCTAGTGTGGGTAGATCGCATGGCATAAAAAAAAGAGGGTGGATGATGCCTTCAACCGTGCCAGCTGCTGCAAAACTCCAGCAAGCGAACGAGTCGCTTACTCAGCCACCAATTAATTTCTACTAGACTTAAGAAAGGGAATAAAAATGAATGGGGGAGCTGGACCAAGTAAGAAGCCAAAAACCTACCACTTCCATACGGAATGGGAGGAGGACTTTTTTTCCACCATGTCATACTCAAAGTGCATTTGCCTCATCTGTCAGTCTACCATTGGTATTCCGAAGAAGGGAAATGTGGAGCGGCATTTTCGGACTGTTCATAGAAACTACGACATTAACTTCCCTCCGAAAAGCGAGCTGAGAAAGGTGAAGGAACTAAAATCCCAGTTCAATTCAAAAATGCTTTATTTATCCCAAAGGGAAATTAATAATAATAATATAGAATATTCTATATATTTATAAATAAATATATGTTTTGCATTTTTATAGTAGGTAGATCATTTTGACTTGGACATTTATAAGTAGCTCACAAGCTGAAAAAGTGTGGGTACCCCTGTTCTAAACTGTGCCTGTTTGTTTATGCTTCTGCAAAAGAGCTTGGATGGCATCTGGAAACACTTTACTGTATGAAATTTCTGCTTGGGAGAGATCACCTTACGTCTTGTTATACTCATTCTTGTCACGGTGTTGGGTAAAACCTTCCACAACCTCACTTTTTTAGCATGGTTGATCCTTGCCTGGTTTTATTCCATCAGCAATTATCCAGAAAGGGTCATTGTGTGCACAGATTTTCGCTGCAATGCTCTAATTAGATGATTCATTTCAGGACTTACTGGCTGAAGAATTCTCACACCTGGATTTGAACAGTTGACCTAAAGGTTATTCCAAAAACCTACATACACAATCGCCCTTTGAAGATGCAACTGCATACCCCTCATCTACACAGTTGGTTATGTAAATCAGTGTGCTTTAACTGACAATCATGTGACTTATATTACAAACATAATAAACACTTTACATTAGACAATTTATATCATTTATGTGTCATTGATCAGTTTCTTTTTAGCAAAATAAATATTTATAAATCTAAAAAACGCTTTCCTGTTCACGCGGCAATAAAAATACGTAAAATAACTATTTAAGACAAATATCAAGACTTTATATATACTTTATATAATCACTGTAAAACAAATAGCTCTGGAAAAACAAAAGCACAAACGTAGGTGACAGAGTCAAAAGCAAGCTGGATACATACAGTACGTGTAATATGCATGTTGCAAAGTACTTTTAAACAGAGCAGTTTCATAAACAATATCAAAGTAAGGTATTGATGCATAACATACCTTCGCCAAATTAAAGTGGTAAGCTACCTAGCTTTATTTTTGTGAGCTGCTAAATCCGTCGTTACATTTAACGTCACTTAAGCACAACTTTCTGAGATCAAATAAGCTACCTAGCTAAAACTAGGACTGCATTTCAACTACTTAACTCCATAGTATATAACGTAAATGGACTATTAATTTTGCCCTTATTTGATATAACATAACCCTAACCAAACGGTATATGCGTTAATAGCAACAAATGCCATTTAAAAAGATACAGAACTACGTAAAATGTTCGCTATAGCAATTATCTACCCGGCACAAACCACCATTTTGACCTGGATATAACCTGTCACCTTTCACCGAAGCGCCGAAAGGCTTGTCGGGAAGTGTAGTTCAGCCAAAGTAAGGAAAGCAGGAGATTTCAGTTTGGGTGATTGCTTTAAAGATAATGTTGCTTCTTCCAAGTAGCCTCTGACAAATGACGTAAAAAATCTGTATGTGCTGATATATTTATACTTTATGTGGTAAACTATTATCTTTACAGTTTAACAAGCAGCCACAGACTAAATCCTGTAAACTGAGTAGAATCCAACGTGATATTCATTTTAGCGTCGTCCCCCCGCCCGCTGCACGGCCCTGCTGTTTCTTGTCATTCGGATATTATTTATAATTTACTGCGCACCACAGTCCACACTGCTGGAGGGTTTTGGATGTTGAAAAAATGAACTTGTTATTGACGAACAAGTGCCTGTAATTTTTGCTTTGAGTCCTTTTTATTAGAAAATGCTAATGTTCATATATACAGTTGCAAAACTGCAATGGCAGTCCTTTTCACGGACAAGATACTCAGGATAGCACCTTTCGTGAAAAAGATGTGCTGCTTTCTGCTACTCACTAGATGGGGGTATTTTCGCAGTTACATGTACAGGCACAGCCTACAAGTCATCACTTAACATAAGACTGGAGACAGAATCAGAATCTGAATTATTGGCCAATTCATATAATATAGTCACCGTGCACGTGTGGTGGATAAAGGTATAAAAAGTGCAGGAAGACAATAAAAACAATGAGGTATTGCTTGCTAATGGGCGGAGAGTGGGGGTGGGGGGGGGGTCGGGTACAGTGTGACTGAACAAGCAGCTGTCTCAGCTGTTCATAAGAGTGATGGCTTGAAGGAAGAAAATGTTCTTGTACCTGCTTGTTTTGGCACG